TCTATAGACCAGTTTGTTTATGATATACTTTAATTTGATTTTAGTACATATTTTCAGGAAGGAACTCAAAGGGACCTTGAACTCGGATCCGTTCTAGGGGCTAACCATGGAGTCCTAGATCCACACATTTCAAAGTACTAGGCGCCCTTAATTAATATTTGATTAAGAGAGATAATTTATGATTAAGCTGGTCAACAAAAAAGTTTAAATTGTTTGAATTCGGCAAGTTGCATAATTCACATACTAGTTTATTAGTATTAAAATACTAAAAATAAGCACATTATCTCTGGAATATTAAGACAATTTGTCATTTAGTCTTATCTCATCCTTACTTGGATAACCCTCAATTTGTACTTAATTAACTACCATAACCATCCATTAATCGTCCAGTTCAGGCCTAATACCTGAAAATAGGACCATTTAATTAAACAATTAGATTTGACTTTATAGTTCATCCAATATTTATTAACTTAAATTATACCTCTTTTTCTAAGAAGAAATGAAATTAAAAATAATAAAGAATTAGAAGTCTGCAACACATGCTGGGAAGACAGATTCCTTTGGCTAGCCTATTACCCTTATCAGTTGACGTTGATTATTTTATTAATCAACCATTTTAAACATGTGAATTCATGAAATTAATTTTATCGTATTATATAGTCTTCTATCTCTGTTGAATTTAATCATATGTATCCTTTCCTGTGTGCGGTAGTGCAGGAGTAGATCAAGTCAACCATTTATAAACATTAAATTCTAAGGCAGATTATTAACTCATCGGATGGGTGAGAATCTCTGCGCAGCGAAGTTTGAAGTTTCAAGTCAACTGCATTATAATTTCATTTTGAACAAAGGCATTTGATTTCCTTGATGAAGCTTATGATGGGCAGATCACATCATTAAAAAGATAAGCATTGATCGGTCGAAGTTATGGCCTACCAGAACAGTACTACTTAAGGACTTCTTTAGTACTCATCATGTATATACTATATACCACCAAATTCGATGTGGCCCATTTTATGTTGTTTCGTGGAAATTAGGTTAAAACAAACCCATTTGAATTCCATGCATGCTTTACATATAATCGTTTTCAGGTTAAGTTGTTTTCTACAATAAAAGCCATGGTTTTTCAGGTTGCGTGAAGATTTAATTTGTAAGGTTGACATTCAGCAGGAAGATGATTATCGTATTATTAATTATTTAATTTATAGGTTAATTCTACACTAATTAATGAGTAACTTTGAAATTTGATGGTGCTGGTTCCAGACAAAATTTTAGTTCGACTTGGACGATATATACCAAACTTTGAATCGTGAAAGTAGCAAATGAAGGTTCTAATCTTTAAATAGTAGCACCGTTTACTTTGAAAGCAAGTTCTCAGAAGACAGCAAAAAGATTGGTCCAAAATCCAAATACATGTATATGGCGCCAGACCAAATTATATTATCTCTTGGTTTAATTCTCGTCCGCTTACTAGAACATAAAAGAACAGTCATCATAAATAAATAAATAAATAAATAATAATAAAAGCTAGCTGAATAAAAAGTGTCTGTAAATGGATATATCATGTACAGCTTCTTTTTGGACATAAAGAATAGTCCTCCTCCTCCATCGTTATTGTTATAATATTCCTGGCGGGCCGTCTTTTGAACGACGAAATTTCTTGGTCACACGAAGAGGGACAGCTTGTGTGTGAGTGAGCAAGTGGGCAAGTTGATGAGCTTGATGATGTGACCAATTGAGAGACCATTATATATTATATATATATATAGCTGTCACTTGTCCGATTATTATTCATGTTGGATTGATTAAAATCATATTAATGCATGATATGATTTATTACACTGTCATTAGGCCTTTAACCTAAAAAATTAACTCTTCGATTTGATATGTCTAATATAAGGCATCAGCAAAATCAAGTTGGATCAAGCAATTAAGGTTCCCCTGGTGTCTTAAGTTTATGTCAATTTTGGTTTGATTTTGGACGCTTGATGCAAAGTCAACTATCTTTATTGCACAAGGGAGTGGTATCTTATCTATAAACTAACGTCGATTAAATTATTTGTTATTGTATTGATATATTGATATAGAGTATATAACAAATGAATTATTGGAGAAGGTTAAACATTAGAAGTTCAAACACATGATTCAAAAATATTTTAAATAAGTATGTCAAATTAAAACAGTCATAACTTTTGATTTGGGAAGAGTTATGATATTAACGAAAAGCTCGTTTTAAGCTTGACGTCGTGGTCAACCATGTATCCCGGCTATCATTTTTAGGCCAAAACTCACTTTTTTGACATGTTTTGTGACCCTTTCTAAGTTTTTTGTGTATTTTTTCTTATTTTATTTAGTGTTTTTCTTATTTTATAATTAATCAACGGTGATGATTTCTTCTTTTAATTAATTTTCACATTTAATTAGAATTTTATTTCCTTCTTTAATTGAGAATCTTATTAGGGTTGACTATCATCACCTTATATAAACATATTATTCGTTTCTTTGAATATATATAATGATTATTCAGAATTTCCTTCAAACTTTACGACTTAAATTTTTGTGATTGAGACTTATTTATTAACCCTATAGGCATAATCGTCTACTAACCTTATTTTTACGCTAACTCGTTGTGTTATATATATATAATGATTAACTTAAACAATTGAAGGAAGCCACCTAGCTACTCTTATCATATGACTACCGACACACTTTCTTGTTATGTATGATGATCATCAACCCATATGACTACCGACACACCCCATAGTCACGCTCTATGTCTTGTCCTATTAGGTTCTAAATTGTTTTCTCATCTAGAATCTACTGCAGTTATGTTCACAATTTAAGAAACAAGAGCATTTTAGTTTATATAACTTGCATTAAAATTGCCTTCAACTATATATATGGATGAATATTCGAGGTAATTTTGTCTTGTATGAAACCGATAACCTCAATGTATTAGTTTTTAATCGACTTTAATTTCTTTTTATTTGCTATAGGCGAGAGTTAAATCCGCAATTGTGGTCAACATATCCAAAGTTCTCTGCTTGGTAGTTGGTTCTGGAAGCCTTAATCCACATTAACTAGGTTAATTTTTTAATTAATACAGAAAGAAATATTTTAGTTCAACTCATAAGATGAAGTTTTAATTCCAGTCAGTACTTTATCTTTTATTTTTCCTATTTAGCTTTCCAAGATAAAGATATCATATGATCGTGCATCAATATTATGCAAAGTTGAAATCATTTAATTACATCTTCTATCTTTTCTATTAATCATAAAATATTAGATATCCAGCATTGTAAATTGTTAAAATTCCTGCAAATAAAGCAAAAAGGGCTCCCTATCATTTAAAATAAATAAATTGATCATTGAGGACGAAAGCTCAACACTGAACATTAAGGGTAATAATATATATGATTCCATGGAGTTTATGTTCATTGGAAAGATAAAACTACTGAATATGTATCCATGAACAAGTATGCGGTAGGCGGGGTATATAGCTGGGAATATTGAAGTGTCAGTAGCGTAAAAGCTGAAACCTGCTTCTCTAAAAAGTTAGTGATAACATATCATAATGTTTATATTATCTGAAGTTGAACCTCGTGTGGTGGTTGGTGAACAGCGTCCCTCTTGCCTCGGTAAACCATTCAGATATATGATTTCTTTAAAGAAGATGGTGGCATGCACTGAATATATAACAGACAGATAAATCTCATGTTATTATATATGAATATGATCAACTTGTTTTTGATGCAGTACTCTCATTGGTCCTTCAAATCCCTGGAATATAATTTAATGTTATAAATTGGTGGTTGAAAATTTAGCTTGGCGCCACAGTTTCTACAATTATATACTGCTTGGCCTTGCATGAATTTCCGTTGCTCTAAGCCAACTTGACAACTTGTTTCTGGGATTGAGTCACTCGATAAAATAATAAGCTCTACCAGTACCACTATTCTTGAAAAGCTGCATATATTTATTTTAATGATTGTATATATATTTTTTTTTTTAGTTTAGTATTGCGGAGTTGGAGACGTTTAAAAAAAGTCAAAAACGTTTCTATCCAATACAAAGCAATACAATACTCCTCTTATCTTAAGACCTTTACCAATCATAATATTCTCATCCCCACTCTTTCTTCCGTGCGCATAACCTGCAGCATTTTTGTTTATTTATTAGTAAACCTTCCAAGCAACAACAACCAGTTCGTCCCTTGCAAATTGCAATCAAGAAATGGTTTCAATTGGGTATTTTTATATTTGAAATCGTGAGCTGTCTTGAAATCCAGGAAGATATAATATCTAATGTACTCCATATGGTAATATCTAAAGAAGATTTAAATATATAAATTTAGTGATGGAAAAGGACAAATTAATTAATTTTTTTCGATCAGTGGATCACTATTATCGTTGCCAATGACACATGCATGAGATTAAATGAAAACAAAGCCTCTAATATCTTTTTGTTTTAGGTCAACTTCCATGAAATCAAACATCATTTAAAATTTATTAAACAAGAGAACAATATTCAACATAATGAAGCAATTATACATATATTTTAATGATCTAATACGTAGATTAATCGTGGAAGTACTTCCAATGTTTCACATTGTTTCCAGAAGTCTCCAAATAGAGGTTTATAATAATGAATTAATAGAATAAAAATCATTAAGTTGCTTCAATCAATCGCTCTTTGATTGATCATCACATGCATGGAATGGAACACTCTCATCTGACTCATCGTGAGAATAACAAAGAGAGATCAGAGAGAGACAGCCAGGCCATGACTGACTTCAACTGAATAATTTTACTGCTGAAACCACACCATTAAATTATTAGAAAGAGATTAAATTCAGGAAATATTTATACATCAAAGTTGGGCCCTTTAGCAAATTTTATAGATGGATTAAAAGTCCAATGATGAGGGCCCAAGAACTAAAGTCCAGAGTCATGGTCCATATTAAAAGTCCAAATCTGGTGAATTAATATGGCATAGCCACTGAACTTGAAGTGATTTACGGTTTACCCTCCGCCCTAAACTGCGTCGCTTCTACCTCCGTCACTTTCTTCTTAGGAAAAAATACCAAGTGTTGGGTAACAGCAAGCACTTGGCAGTGGTATCAAAATGGCGTTGAGATTGGCTGTGCTAAAAAGCTCTGGGATTCACACAGGATGTGGGTTATCCTTCGCGCGGTGGGCTCATGTCGCGGCCCTTCCTGCGCCGATGGATTCAACTATCAGTTCTTCTACTGTATCTCCACCGTTGCTTTTACCAGATAACCCAGAAGAAAAAAACAACAGCGGTTTCGGATTCCCAAGTTTCTCATTTGGTGGGTCCATGGAACTTATGGCTGTCCCTAAAAGGAAGGTAAATATTTTTTCTTTTCTGTTTTGTGTCAACTGAGAGTTTGAATTTTCTTTTTTTTCTTTTTTGTGATAACAATATTGTTAAATTTTAGGATTGATTGGTGTTTTCTAGGTTATTTATGGTGGGTATTCATCCATTAGGGTTTAGGGTTTTAGACTTTTATGATTATACAATTTTTTCAATATGGCATTACAACAAACTAAAACTATTTTAGATGGCGTGGGTTATCAATTAGTATAGCGTGCTTTGAAGAAATTTTTTCTAATGTAGATGTACTTTATCCCTTGAAAGATGCATAATTTTGAATCATCCTTTGTACATGGTCCCCTTGCCATAAACTGAAAATTTAAGATTTTCTGTATAAAATTTCTGTTAATTGGTTTTTATGCCTTTGTCAATCATGTAGGTTTCCCCCCATAAGAGAGGCATAAGAAATGGGCCAAAAGCTTTGAAGCCTGTTCCAGTGATTATTCGGTGCAAGTAAGGTTTTTCCCAGTAATGTTTGCATGCTTCATTTTTTGATGTTTTGGATTGAATTTAATGTATTGAGGTAACCTATTTGATATAAGAGTATGTAGTTAGGTAGGTTGGGATCATTGTTGGGGAGAAACTAAATTGGTTTGCTATAATGTAGCACCCTTAGAAATTGAATAGACAATTTTTTTTGTTTATTGACTTTAATTATGTCGAGAAATCTATAGGATAAAAAAGTCTGTCTTTGCATCCAATTTATAGTAATTCAGGAAGATTCTCTCATTCTCTACACCAGACATTTTGAATTATTTGTTTACTTTTCTCAAAAAGAGCCTTCTATTAAACTGAGGATTTTTTCCTTTGCTTTCTTAGAAAGAGATTAATTTTGTTGTAGTTCAAGGGGTGATAAGACTATTGAACTAGGAGGGATTTGTGACCCCTGTTTTCACTTTCCATTATCGTTCATCTTTTTGAAGTAGAGAGGAATTAGTTTTGGGATTCCACAATGTAGGCATCATAAAATTGAAAATACAAAAATGAAATGTCTAATTCTTGAAAGCCTTGGATGAGGATGTGATATTTAATGAGTTCTTATTATCACTGCTCTCTATGTACAAGATTTCAAATTGCTTGTAATACGTTCAGATTGATATATGTTCTTGAGTATGATCTATCTCATCATTGCAGGAGCTGCGGTCGAGTGAAGTTGCCACACTTCTTCTGTTGCAGTGGAGAGAGGCGGAAGGAAGAGTGATGGATTAAATGATTCTGCTAGCTGCTTCTCTGCAATTAAGCACCAAACATAGTTTTGTAATAGGGGTCAACATGTTGTTTTTTGAATTATCTAAACTTTTTCAGATTTTAATAAACTTGATAGAAGCTTGTTTGTAGAAACACTGATTGCATTGTGTTTTTCTTTTTCCTCTTAATCATAATGATTTCTTCATTGATCGCGTAAACGAAGTTCACGGCACCATATTGTATAAATGAGCTGGATGGATAGGATTTGCAGTGTAATTTGCCAGGGATTCATTCCTCTTGGTGGTGCTGATTATTGCAGAGATGGCATTTAAGCCTTAGAAAGACAAATTTACTGTAAAGAAGAGATAATCTATTGAATTGCATTTACTTGAAAATCATTGAGAATCCTTGCAACTCGGATATTTACAATTCATCTATTAGATATTTGGGGGTTGTGATTGTTGTGGCTGAGAAAGGGGAGAGATAATGATAAGAAAAAAATTCTTTAAAAGATTGTGTTTTGACGGTTATTAAAGGGGATATGGTTGTTTTAATTGATTTATTACATTATTAAGTGTCTTAGAAAACAGTAGCAAATCAGAATCCCAACTAATAACAGTATTACGTAAATGGTCATGGGATGGGGCTTGTCCTTGCATCCATTATATTTGATGATGTGAGATTGGAATTTAAAGCCTCATTCATATATCGCAAAGAATAATAGAACGGAACCCTCGAGAATTTGTGGCTATCCGTGTGAAACAAATGAGTTAATGTGTTATTGGAGTTCAATTTTTCACACACCGTTAAGTTGTTAAACTGTTATAGTGAATATATGTTTTATCCAAACTATTTTATGTTAAGTTAATAAACTGTTACGGTGAATATATGTTTTATCTAAACTATTTTATCATAATATCAGAATCAAGAGCATCGAAGTTGAATTTGGACCCGACCCTCATTGCTAAGTTTGGAGCCACTTGATCATGTGCTATTTCAACAACAAAAGGAGTCAATGTCTAATAAGAAGACCTCATCATCAACTCTATTAAGCAAGGTACGTTTCTTCTTCACCGACTTCAATCAGAGTTGCACGCGTGTCACACAATGGTGAAACGTTGTGTATACCCACCGCAACCCGTAAGTAGGAATGGATTACGGTGCTTCATAAGACCACTGTAAGTGATTGAACCTATCCAATCAGATAAGTAGGGAACTACATGACTGATGTGATTGGCGTAGACCACCATAAAACAGTGGTATTGTCACACATGAATGCCAAGCGTAACTAACCTGAACCACCTCAATGTAAATACATTAGTGGAGACTGATTATTAAGAAAGCAGAAGCCAGAGAGTGCTTTAAGGCACAGAAATTATACACCTCGGTTTCAGTGCACTTTTGAAGGCGGTTTCATTTCATTGAATTGGCTGAGCAAACGAGGCACACCTTGCATGCAGCTTCTCTCTTGTTCTTTCTGTTCCTCTTCGGTAATGGCTCTGCTTGTAATTGTTTTGTTGATTGGTATTCAACTTCGTAATTTCTTCTTGTTAATTTTGTACTTCTTGTTTAGTTATTGAGGATACAGAATTTCATGTTATGCATATATACATTATTTCACTTGAGAAGAAGACGTGTGAAAATTCTATTCTATGTTATTTTAGATTTAGAACCAACTTTACTGGAATCAAAACCATGGCTGTCATTTCTTTAAATCTTCCTTTTTTCTGTAGCTTAAACTTCTCTTCTATCTAGAGATCAACGGAGGTTTACTAGAGAGAGTGGACTATATATTTGACAAATAGAGAGAAGCAAAGATGAAATTTGGGAAAGAGTTCAAGAAACAAAAAGTGCCGGAGTGGACAGATGCTTATATGGATTATAATGGGCTCAAAAGAATTTTAGGAGAAATCTTGCAGTACAAGCAAAGTAAGCAACCTCCAACACCCATGAGAGCCCGTCACCAGAAGTTGAAATTGCGTAGAACCTTCAGTGGACTACATGCACGATCTGGTAATCTTGTTAACAGTGGGGATATCGAAGAGCAAGTGATTGATGTCAGCACATCACCAAGAGATGGTTCTGGTTCTGGACATTTCTACAAGACTAATTTTCTGAGGCAGTCTGAACAAGGGGGAGAGATTGAGGTTATGTTCTTCAGAAAGCTTGATCAAGAACTCAACAAGGTCAATAACTTTTATTACGACAAGGTGAAGGCAGTGCTGGACGAAGCAACTGATCTAAATAAACAAATGGATGCCCTGATTGCTTTGCGAATCAAGGTGGAGGGAAAACCTCCTCCTGCCGATAATGCTGCTTCAATGCCCTTAAGAAGCAGTACTTCAAGCACTGCTAGAATTCGAAGTAAGTACATAGTCAGAATCCACATAATTATAATTATGTGCATGATTTAACTATTCCGTGTATTTGAAATTTTCAGCTTTAAGACAATCAAATAAGGTTTGAATGACGTGCAATTTTCTGTGTCTGTCGGGGGAACTTGTAGTGAATGAGGATTGGCTTTACCCTTGTAAAAGACACAGAAGTGAGCACAGTTGAGCGACTAAGATAAAAGTGTATTTTAATTCGCTATGTTTAGAAAATGCAAATTGATTTTATATGGCATCAGTATTTGCAATAGCTTGAGATTTTATTGGAGAGGCTATCATTTCCTAATGGGTTACTCTAACATGCCAAAGCTGCAGGAACAGAACAACCAGTGGAACCTGGAGTTGAAATGATTTGTAGAAGTCCGCTAGAAGAACTTGGTGAGAGTCGGAGTGGTGATGCAGTTCTGATTCATGGTTGAAAAAACTTCTTTTACTTAAGAAAACACTCTTATAATCACTTATAAATATGTAATCATACTAAATGTGCAGAAAGTGAGAATGCTGATACAAAAGTTGAAGTGGACATGAATGATAATTGTCGAGGGGGATGTTCTTCTGGTGACCCAGAAGTTGGTCCAGTTCGCACTACCAATTACAGTAGTGATAGCCAAGAGAAGGAGAACCTATACAAGTGCAAAGAAGATTCACTGGAAATCCTTGAGCACGTTAAGATTAACAATACACTGGAATCTCCATTTTCAACTTTAAAAGGTGTTTTCAAGGATTCTAAAGATGATGAGTTGAGATTTAAAAAGGAGGAGCTGAAGGAAGCTGAAGATCGATTGAAAGCTGTGTTTATTGAATTCTATCGAAAGCTACTTCTTCTTAAGCACTACAGGTGATTACGGTAACATTGTCTGAAAACATATACCTTGTAACTCGTTAAATTGTTACGTTCTTATTGTTTTGCTAATGGATGGACCAGTTTCATGAATCTCGCAGCATTTTCCAAGATAATGAAGAAGTACGAAAAGGTCAGAAACCAAAAGCTTCTTCGGGTTCTGAGTTGCATTATCATCTCACAAACTAAACATTAAAAGAATATCGATTTCTAATACTCAAATTGTTTCATTTTCATTTTAAATGAGAAATTGATTGAATGCTTGCATAATACAGATCTCTTTTAGGAGGGCATCCAGATCATACATGAAAATTGTGGACAACTCTTACATTGGCAGCTGTGATGAGGTCTGTCTCGTGTACCTATATTCCAAATATAAAATCACAATGGTGACTGGCCATAAATTGGATAACTGGGAAAATTTTCATTCAGTATATGTGTCTTAAATAATTCAAATACATTTTGAAAAAGTCAGAATAGTATTTTTTAATCAGTAAATATTAAAAGAGCTTTATAAATACGAACCAGCTGCATTTGGTGAAATTGCTGACAGAAACTGTATTCCTATTTTAGATTGCAGGGTACTGGTGTCTTCTTTTATTTTTATTATCAAACAGCAATCGTGCAGGCTTTTCTTTTTTGGTTCTTCTTTTTAAATTTTTAACTATCTTTTTTCTACCTAACCCCACCTTAAATGGTGAATATTCATGATTGCCGCGCAGTAAAACGCTGTGATTTCTCTCTCTTTCACTTCTCTATCATCTTCGAAGATACTAACCATATAATCAGCATTTCTTCAGTCATGCTTCACTTTATTGTTACTGAATGTAAAGCAAGATCAGGTAAAAGTATATTGCCGTCTCAAACATCAGTATACAGAGCCTAGATCTTCAATTGAGCTTAGTTATTTATTATAAATTATCCTCTTGTTGTCGCTAGAAGGGAATGAACGAGGGTGGCAAACACACAAACTAAGTACTTATGAAATCTACATCCTTTGTTGAAAATTTTGCATTGAATAACAAATTTCAACTAAAATCTAGGCTGTGTAGATTGATGTCTGGGATAATATACTTTACTTAATGTTCCAATATGAGCCACTTTGTGAAAGCACAAACTACTATAGAACTCGGTCAATTGTCAGAACAGATCTCATATTAATGTTTCTTGTCCAATACAAAGGTTCCAGTACTAGCAAGTTTAATTACGATTGTTGGCCTTCCCTATATACTAGATTTATTTATTTATTTATTTATTTTTGGTCTTAATAGTTTATCAACCCATTATGCATAGAAAGATCAACCATGTTAGTTAGTTGGGCTCGTATATTTTTACCATCTTCTTAAAGCATTGAGTAGATTTGCCTTATGCCATCATAGGTTAACGCTCTTTTGGAAAGGGTAGAGACTACCTTCATCAACCATTTTTCAAACTCAAATCGCAGAAAAGGTATGAAGTTATTGAGACCAAAAGCGAAAAGAGAAAAGCACAAAGTAACTTTCTTATCAGGTTAGTAATTTCCTTACGAATTAGAACTCATGCTTAAAATCATCATATGGTTATGTTCTCTTATGGTTTACTTCTTATTTGCTGATTTTTATGTTGTCTTGTTATTTTCAGGGTTCTTTTCTGGTTGCTCTTTTGCATTAATTGTTGCTATTGTATTAAGAATAGAAGCCCTGAATCTAATGGACAAGAAGGAGGGTGCCTTGTACATGGTTAACATTTTCCCCCTTTACAGGCAACCATAAACTCCCCTAGCAATGTGTTTGTTAATTCTTGAATTTAATAATTTACTAGCAGATAGCTATTTCAATGTTGTTTATCCAGCCTACTTCATTGATAATCACTTAAGTATATCCATGCAGTTTATTTGGATATGTTGTTCTACATATGCTCATGTACGCTGCAGACATATATTTTTGGAGGCGTTATGGAGTCAACTATCCATTTATATTAGGTCTCAAGCAGGGAACTGAATTGGGCTATCGAGAAGTCTTCCTCCTTAGCACAGGTCTTGCAGTACTTGCTCTAGCTAGTTTCTTGGCAAATTTGCACCTGGACATGGGCTCAAGACATTACCAGAAATTAACTCAACTGCTTCCTCTGTTTTCAATTACAGTAAGATTCTAGATGTAACTAGATTTGTTTCTACTGGGTTTCTCCCATAATTACTACTATTCTTCCCAAATGATATCTCAAAAACCTCTTTCCAAATGCTGTGTCATCTTATACTGTGTTCACATGTAAATCAAGTGATGATTTAGTAAATAATACGTGAACACCAAATAGGATGACATGTAATTTAGGATGAGGTTTTTGGGATATTATTTAGGAAGAGTAGTATTACTACTCTACTGCGTGACAATCAATCAGTTATTTCTTTACAAGTGCCTGATGCTCTTATTAAATACATAATAGATGAAAGAAAACTTGCCTTTTTGTATAATCAAGGTTCCTTTTGTTTTCTCCCTGTTTTGCAGACTCTTATTGTTTTACTCTTCTGTCCTTTCAACATAATATACCGTTCAAGTCGCTTCTTCTTTCTTAAATCCCTATTTCGTTGCGTTTGTGCCCCACTCTACAAGGTGATTAAAATTCAAATAGTTAAAGTTTCATATACTATACCGTATTGGATGAGCAAGATGACATTTTGATTGTCTTCCCTTTCAGGTTACACTTCCAGACTTTCTCTTGGCAGACAATCTTACCAGTCAGGTGTTACACTATAACCAGGCATTTGATTGGGCTCAACAGGTAAATGTTTATAACTTGAATATTTTTTTATACTACCTGTTCTTTCTTGCCAGGTCCAGGCCCTGCGGAGTATAGAGTTGTACGTATGCTACTATGGTTTGGGAGAATATTCCGAGAGACAAAATAAGTGCCATAGTCATGGCATTTATAATGTTTTCTATTTTGTTATTGCTGTTATACCATTCTGGCTCCGCTTTCTCCAGGTATCATCTCATTCTTCTTTTGTTTTCATGTCTGCAACTTTTGATGCAGGGAAGCATTTTCAATAGAAAATGGTGGTGTCATAGATATTATTAGAGGCTCTAGGAAACTATATGTTATTTTCATATGCTTGTTTTGTGTTCCACCATAAATATTTGTCTTCTTTTTCTCTACATCCAAATTCACCTCCTCTAAACCTAAGGAAAAACTATCATCATTGAAATATGCACTTACATATGGTACATTTAATTTTGCAGTGCCTCCGCAGATTGTGTGAAGAGAAGGATGCAGTGCAAGGATATAATGGTTTGAAATACTTCTTGATAATCATTGCAGTTCTTATCAGAACAGCTTTTGAGCTGAAGAAGGGGACAAACTGGTTAGTGCTTGCATTGATCAGCTCAGCCATTGCAACAGCTATGAGTACATATTGGGATATTGTTGTTGATTGGGGGCTTCTGAGAAGGAGATCAAAGAACCCGTATTTGAGAGATAAACTAGTTATTTCCCACAAGAGTGTCTATTTTGCAGCAGTGGTATTATGCAGTGACTAATCTGAGATTTTCTATATAGTAAGTTATGCAACTGATTTAATTATTTTGTGAAATTTATTACAGGTCCTGAATATACTACTGAGAGTTGCGTGGATGCAGCTAGTTCTAGAATTCAAGTTGCATTCGCTTCATAGAATGACCTTAACAACTGTCATTTCCTGCCTTGAAATTATCCGTCGTGGCATTTGGAACTTCTTCAGGTATTTCACCACCTCTGATATTAGGTAAAGCATTTGCTGAGTTTTTTTCTCCTCCTCAACAATGTAGCAATTACCAGATTGTGTCTTCTGCTCCCCACATTATGTTTATGGATATTTCTATCACCATTTCATATGTATATGTAAAGAAAAATGTTACCCTTGCCATAACTCTGAGCTGATATTTCGATAAGAGATCATATCAGAGTATATCATTTTCTAGTTTGTGCTTATACAAGGGTTGCATTCAATCAGGTTGGAGAATGAGCACTTGAACAATGTTGGTAAGTACCGAGCATTCAAGTCAGTTCCACTTCCTTTTTGTTACTACAACGAAGAAGAAGACAAGGATGATTAGCATCACAGTCTCTATTCAATTGAGCATTGAGTTCAATAATGCAAGTGCTATAGCTTTGAGGATCAAATCCAGTATCCATGGGCATATGTACAGGACAAAATTTTCGGAAAGGGTGGGTTCAGGGCAGACACTGATTAGTCACTGCTTTTCAACTTGAAACAGCAGTAGCTGCTGCAAACTATTAAATGCAGGTTTTTTTTAATTTGTCATGAGTGTATTTGTAAAATTTTAAAGTATATTTATCATTTTTTAAATTAATAAGGGATAATTGATTTTTTATAGGGTATCCGGGTAAGGAACTAGAACCTGTACTTTAATTTCAAGTTCCAATTCTAGGAATCTAAGAACTGGAACCAACCGGTTCTGGTTTTGGTTCCTTTTGTTGGTACTCCCCGGCACTTGAAACTCATTTGCTGCCAAGTACATGAAAACCAAAAATAAAAGCCCTTGATCTCTTTCAAATTCCCAATTAACTTTGTTTAATTTATTATTTAATTAACTAAATAACTGATAAGATATCTTTTTTAAAGAAATTATAACAAAATTATTGATTTAAAAAAAAAAAGTTTATACAATATTAGTTGAATGTCTGAATGTAAAATTATAGACAAATTAATAATCGTAAGTAATGTCTAAAGAATTAATAAATCATTATGGGTGCTTAATGTCTAAAGGATTAATAAATCATTATGGATGCCTTTAAGTATTTGGAATAATATTTTTGAAATATTATCTCCTCCCATTCACTCTTTTTTTATTATCAGCTTTACTTAATTAAAAAAACAAAATTCCTTTAGGCGTCCAATGTCACATGTTCATCACGTGACCGACTTCATATAACATTACAAAAATTAAATTAAAAAATTGGAAGGGTTTATACGAGGTTTAATAGACAATGGGAGGCTTCCTCTCCTCAACAACGTCAACAACAACCGACTCTCAAATACCCTCCTCCTCCTCCTCCTTCTCATCACCATCATCATCTTCCGATTCTCAAAATCCCAACTCCTCAGCTAACTCCTTAAATCCTAAAATGCCATCCTCTGATAATAACCAACCGCTAAAACAAACTCCGGAATCTTCAAATGTTGACTCCCGACAAACCCTAGAATCTAAACCCCAAAACCCTGATTCCAGATCCCAATCTTCTTCAATTGATACAAAAATAGAAAAAACCCAAGAAGAGAAAGAGAAGGAGACAGTGATCGATAATGGAGAAGAAATTGAAGGTGAAGGAGCGGAAGAAGAGGAGGAGGGAGAGTGTGGATTTTGTCTTTTTATGAAGGGTGGTGGGTGCAAAGAAAGCTTTATAGCGTGGGAGAATTGCGTTGAAGAATCTGAGAAGAACAAGGAAGATGTTGTGGAGAAGTGCTTTGAAGTAACTAGTACTTTGAGGAAGTGTATGGAGGCTCATGCTGATTACTACGAGCCCATTTTGCGTGCTGAAAAAGCGGCTCAGGAGGAGGCCGTCAAGGAGTTGGAGAAAGAGAAGGCTGCCGAGGATTCAAAAGATTCCAAAGGAAATGGGGATGTGGGTAGAAATTGAGATGGTTTGATGACTAACTTTTCTTTTCTTTATTAAAGGAATTAATGTTGTTCCTATATATGATTTTGATATCTAATAGCGGGAATTCAGAAGAATTTGAGGATAATAAGATTTCTTGATTATGTTTTGTTAAGGATTTGGAAAGAAGATTAAAGATGGTTAAGAGATGAGAACTAGAAGTAAGTTATTTGCAAATGTTGTCAATGCTTACTTTATAATAAGTGGATGATGTTTTTTAACTTGCGAATCAAGTATTATTTGGTCTTATGATGAAATTCTTGTGTTATTAGAGTAACTGTTTTTTTGCATCTTGGTGTTTTAGCTGCTTGTGCCATTATATAATGTTGATTAAGAATCATTATTTAGTGATATGATAACTGGAATCAGTGGCATAATTATGTGGACTATGTACGACTCTCATTCTAGGAACGTAATGTATCACTTATGATATTTACTTATTTTAATGTTTCAACGTTCAATCAAAATCTAAACCAAGGAACGTTGGACTTTGTTGGGTTGTCCAACATATTGTGTTTGAATATTTTATTATAGTAGCTTTGTGGGAAAAATGATTTTAAGCTCTCGGGGTTCAGTTGATTTCCATTACTTTAAATTCTCGCATCGTGGTGTTGCATAACCATTTGGTTCTTCTTACAAGGTTCAGATACACCCAGTGGTAGTAATTTTTAACAGCATAGTTTTGTTTTGTGTCTTTGAGTAGGCTGATTTATTTGCATAATTTTTCAAATTTTGACATAGGGTACTCTGTTCTTGTACACTGTACTTCTGTTACCCCATAGCTTAATAGGTCTTTGGCATTTATGAACCCCTGGTGGATATGTGCTATAAGTATAGACCACTGCTTTGGTAGAAACCAATGGCTTTTAGTTATTAAAATTATTTTCTTGAGATAGGGCCTTTATTCATAAATGATGAAATCTTTCGTACAATATTCAAGGAATGTCCATTTCTAATAAGTGTTTTTCTTCAAATGAAATGTTTAAAATAATGTGGAGCCTTCATGTGGTATGTGTCTGTGAAACTCCTAGGAAAAATGTATGTGCAGGTTTTCACAAGGATTGAACTTCCTATGTTGTAATGTTTTATGTTATTTTATTTTTCTCTTTATCACTTTCTTGTTTGATTGTTGTAGTTTATCATTGAGGCACCACACCACTCACAATTTGTCTCAAAATTGTATTTTTTTTTTTTTTTCTTATAGGAGTCCCAAAATTGCATTTCAACCTCTTCTGTAACTTATCTTACAGTTAATTGTGGCTCCATGTAACTAGGGGGAAGTTGAAATGAAGGGTTAGATTGATTAGTGTGGGAGATAGATTGACATGTGTTGCTTCATTGATTATTAGGCCTGAATAAGTTGGAGCAAGTAATTTGTCCCCTTTAGAATTT